ACCTGTGAAGGATCCCTGTAGCCGTGTCATTGTTATAGTACTGCTGTTAAGAAGGCCACGGTACTGTAACAATGTGATCATTTTGTATTTTTGCCCAATTTAGATAACCATCAACAGAAGGATTGTCAGTTGCAACTACATATAGCCATAATAATTCGCATGCCATTGTATGTTGGTAAATATTGCAAATAGAGTCTCATGATTTGTGATAGTCGTCGCATTTTTTAAAAAATCCAAGTTGGTTTTCAGTTCTATATCTTTGAAGAGTAGCGAATTGTTTAATATCAATTGACCTTCAAAATACATTCATAAAAAATTTAGTATCTGACAAAAAGAAGACGTCTAAGGTATTTAATTTGTTACATATAATTTTTACAATAGTTATTTTTCCGACTGGCCATTTACCCAACATCACACAAGGTGATAATTTACTAATACCTACAACTAACAAACGCTAGCCTTAATCCCTATATAATTCAAGGTAAATGCTTGTCAGAAAAATATCTGTCTGGAAAATGAGCAATACGATTTAATTGTAGAAAAAAAAATTTTTAATCATGTTAATAAATAATACCAATTTAGTTCCATAAATGCTTTAAGCATATTCATTTCTTTATGCAAGACTCCAGGAATCAATGTAAGCCATAGGAAATCGTTTTTAATCTTTTGTGCAAGATTATATGGAACACCATCGCAAATAACAGGCAGCCATTTTCGTGCTTCTTCATTGATTTCAGCGATACTTCGTATATGTTCTAAAACTTTTTTAACATTATTTAAAGAATTAGGGTTAATTTCTAACAAATCCGGCATATACATTTCTGGAATGATTACGTTTTGATCAGGTTTAGATTGTTGCATAATACTAATGTGCTCTGAATAAGAAGTTTTTTGATCTAGAGTATATTCGTAAGTCTTTATTGTTAGAGGCCCTGATTGTGATATATTTTTATTAGTTTGAATAAATTCATTAGTGGATTCAGCCTGTAAAGTAGCTAACACATCTAATTTTTCATTACAATTAGGACATGTTCATTTTTTATTATTTATATTAGTCGTGTTGCACTTTTTGCACTATTTTGAATGGCTTCCAGTGCCTTTTTGATTTTTTATAATCTGATCGACAGTACTTATTTCTTGGCTTTTTTCAGTAATAAGTTCTTCTAAAATTGAAGCTAAGTATATATTTAATTCGCGTTCACATTCTGCTTTCATTTCTGGTGTAAGATAATATAATTTTTCACATTGTTGATTATTTAGTGAATCATAAAGCCAAGGAGAAATCGTAAATTGAGCTTGATTATTTTTATCCATATTTAATGCAGTGAAACTTGTAACTGTGTGATAAATGACCGTATTATATCCATGATCAAGATAATTATATTGACCTCGTTGTTTATTATTGAATGCTAGAAATAGAAGTCCTTTAGATAAGGGTTCATTTTCGATGGCTAACGATTCTAGCCAATTAATGAATTTTGTATAACTTCCAGAACTAATTATATGATTGTTGATATCAATAATTGTTTTAGATTGTGCTAACGAATATTTAATTCCTGATATGGCAAGATTTATTTCTAACACATAGTTCTTATACTTTAATCCATATATTGCATCAATAGTGACCATTATTTAAAAAGTTTTTCGTTTAAAGTATAATTACGATTATTAGTATCATTATGAGTAAGTGTGTTAATGAAATTTACAACGACTGGGTTACGATTAGCTAACCAAGTTTCGGGTACAAAATTCAATAAACTGCTAAGAGAAAATTGTTGTTTATTTAGAATTAATGATTTGATATCATCATAAACATTTTGGCATTCATAATTTGCAATTTGAATTACTGAGTCAATTCTTTTTTTTTGATTATTATAATGATTTTCCCATTTATATTTTAATATATTATTTTGTTCAGACAGCTCCTTATTTATTTGGTTTATTTCCTGAATTTGTTCCCAACTTTTAATAATATAATCATACGCATATTCTAATTGTTTTTGAAGAGTTTCTATTTCATTGATTTTTATATCCAATTGTGCTTGAAGTAAATGAATGTAATTTTCAAGAGTATGCGACATATTATCAAATGCTTGTATGCCAATTTCACGGGTCTCTTTATTAACTTGCACACCAATCTCATTAGTTTGAATGCCAATTTCACAAGTATTTTTTTCAACTGCTATTTCATTAGCATGCTCCATATGAGCATGCTTTTCAACTAATTCACTTTCAAAATCAGGATGTCGCTTTTGGTTATTTTGTTTATTTTTAACCAATTGCGAATAGTTCGCATTTACAAAAACTTGTCGTAAAAAATCAGATATAATAAGTTAATTATAATGTTTTTCACATAAAGAAAAATCATCTAAATGTGTCTGAACTTCAACTAATTTAAGAAAAAAACTATTGTACAACTGGAGATGACTTATTGCTAATTTACTATCCGCATGCTGTATTGTTTGTGACTCTTTAGTTTCACATTCTAACAACTTAGAACCTTCATGCAATGAAACAGAAGCAGCCAAAGCGCAAGGTAGTTCATATGCTGATCGTCGTTTACGTTTATTTTGATGTTGAATGGATTCCACTATATAAAAAAAATTGAAGGTTCAGAATTAGTGAATTATAATGAAAAATATAAAATACATTTATTACATACTTTTTTGGCTCAACTCCAGTCTTTTTTTCTTATCATTATAATAAAAAAGCGCAGAACTAGAGTAATGATGTAAATTAAGTGGGTTTTAAAAGAACAATTACCACAACGTTAAGGAGCAAAAAAATACTTTATTTTAGAATCTTACTTGTAAATGTGAATTAGAATAAACAAACAAAATAATAAAGGCGCCTTGTAAGAATATCAAGCTAACTTCCCTGAATCTTAGAAACAATGATCAAAGAATAGAAATATATTAGCGAATGCGCTTTGCAAAACTATTATTGATTTTTTTTTTGGATCTTGGTTAGATATAAAATAGCATTTTGATAAACTTCATGTGATCTTTGGATTTTAAGAATCAAGAGAAGGAAATGCATTAGCAGATGCACTTTGTAAAACACTACGCTAATTTTTTTGTATTGGATCGTAGAACACTATGCTGACTTCCTTGTATCTTAATTTGAATAATATTGAATCAAAAGAATGGAAAAGATCTTGGATCCAAAGGTAACATATATGTTTCGCATTATTATTTCTTTGATATTCTAATGCTTATTACTTTATTCTATTTTTTGATTCAAGGTTGAAATATCTTGGGATTCAGTGCAGATTAGGGTCATAAAGCATGATTTTGGTAAATACAGTAGGAATGCTTCTATATTTAGAATATATTGAATTATAAGTTTATGTAATATATCACATTATTAAATAATTTTCACTTGATTT